GTACAAGGACCATGATCAGGAACAAGAGGCTGTTAAAGCCAAAAGATTTAAAGAACAGTGAGTTGTTCCCAATATTTATCATCAATGTCCAAACTGGTTGACTTGCTATGTTAGCACCAAATGACACGCGCAGATGGTATTAAATATGGGAACCTAAACAACACTCTGTATTAAATAACTGTGATAACACTGGAAGTAGTATTTGGACCTTTTATTTAAATGGTGAAATCTTGAAAACATTGTTGAAGTACCTAAAGTAAAAGTATCAAAACAATTTAAATGGTACATTTTAAGTCACTTTAATGCTAAACCTGGAACCAATTTTCTAACTTAAAGTTGGACAGCTTGTATTAATATAGTATAAAAAATCAGAGGATGCACATTTTGATCTTAGTGGATATTTTGTTATCGTGCAAACTGATATGTAAATAAGGCCTTTAAAATAAATGCTGGGGAACACAGAAATGGAAACTGACAGAACTACACCTCTATGGCCACCCCGTTAAATACACCCCTGAGTATGAGTGAACATACTGAGTTTTGAAGGTTTTTTTCAAAGTCCTGATTTCTCCTTACAGCTACACTGTACATACAGAAGACTCTTTCCAGTGTTGTAATATTTTAGAGGAAAATAGATTTATTTCAGGCAATGCCTTGGCTACCATATGCTCCTCTCTCTTTAAACAGATTCACAGAACAGCCGGTGGCTGGAAAACAGGAAGTTGAGTCCACACAGTTGCGACCTGTCTTCGTTTCATCCAAGCTGACAAATCACATCCCTAAGACTCTTGAATATCCCTATGTTCCTCCTTATACAGTGGGGCAAAAAAGTATTTAGTCAGCCACCGATTGTGCAAGTTCCCCCACCTAAAATGATGACAGAGGTCAGTAATTTGCACCAGAGGTACACTTCAACTGTGAGAGACAGAATGTGAAAAAAAAATCCATGAATCCACATGGTAGGATTTGTAAAGAATTTATTCGTAAATCGGTAGCTGACTAAATACTTTTTTGCCCCACTGTAAGTTCTAAGGTTCCTAATTTGTTTCTTTTGGCCCAGTAATTTAACAAATGCTGCAAATGAACTGTAACAAATTCTCCAGCTGTTCCAGTAAAACCATATTTATTTGAAAAGCTGTGAACAGGCATTATTAATAAAACACAAGCTCTGCTATCTAAATGAGCAAGATTAATACTTTAAGTTCTAATTTTTGGGTTTGTGCCAGGAAGCCTCCTTGATCAAAATACCCAGTTTCATCAGACCCTTTTGTTGTTAACCCAAGCCCCAATATAAATACTAATAAACATTATTAAATTAGATCGGCATTATTTTGTTATTACTGAAAACCTACATGTGTCTAAAGGATACATCTTTGAATGTCTTCAGTTTCTTTTGTCTCAAATGAGCTTGAATCCAGCCACATTTCTTATAGTTTATTCTAAATAAGCCCCTGCAATATTAATATATAAATATAAAGCCAGTATAATGATGAAAGCTCAGGTGTTACTGAAGCAATACCATTAACTGTGTTATATCCATGTGTCCCAGCGAGCTGTGACACTGACCCAGCAGCCTGAACCTGAAGGCAGCTATCATTCATTTTATTATGTACGCCTGTGCTTTCTCAGGACAACAAGCAACCTCACAGCTGCTAAAATGAACAAGCAGGTCAATATGTATTTGTGAAATCTACTCTTTCCATCTTCACATTGATTGGTGCAACGGGGCAGCTGTGCAGGAAGCCAATCACACAGGTGAACAAACACAAAGAAATAAACCACACAGGGCGTGCCGGCGTCATTCACTTTATTAGAATAGCAAAACTTCAGCTGATCAATGTCCTAAATTCAAAATGTTACCTCAGTGTGTAAAAACCAAACAGCGAATAGCCTTAAGAGCTGGAAGCAAATGGTCCAAAGGGGAGTCCCTCGCCACAGATTCCCGTGTTAAAAAGCCCAGCTTTAAAGCAAAAAATAAACATATTCATAACCTTGTACAAAAAGCATTTTTGATCTCTGTTGCTGATTTTCCCCTTTGCGACAGGTATACAGAGGGACTTTGTTTAAAAAATTATTATTATCATCTGTTAAGATTCTTTTAAGGCTTCCTTTTCTTGCCTTACTTGCATTTATCATGAGTTACTTCTTGTTTATGAGACTTTCTGCATTCAGTTTTGTATTTAATAAAAGCATGCTTCACTGGGTTATGATAGGATGACAAACCCTGGCCATTAATGAATAACTCATTAATTTTAAATGTTCAGATATTTTTCTTCTAGAGCTGTGCAGACCTGTTTAGACGTTTTTTCTGACAATGTTTCTGTTCTTAAATATAACCAGTGTAAAATATCAACACTTGGAATGAACTCCAAGTGGTGGTATTTTTTCAGCATATGTGCCAAATTTGTCATGGAATAATAAAGGATCAGGCCTCACCTGACCTGAAACTGCTGAAACTGTTAGTCATTTGCTCAGTTACTTTTTATGTGTCAAACCCCTTTAATTAAAGCTGAAGGCCTGTACTTCAGACATATGTTTGATTTAAATTCCACAGTGATGGTGTAAACAGGCAAAACTATAAAAATTGTGTCTTTGTTTAAAGTATGGACCTCACTGCCTAAGTGACAGGTAGGTGTTGACACAACCCTGGCTCAAAGGGTAGCGCAACAATTTCAGAGATAAATAAATATGCATTGTGTTGCTGTATGAACATGTGCTGTGTCAGTGAACAAAAAATAAAGCAGCTGATGTTCAATAGATCAAGTAACCTGGAGGAGAGAGAAAAAGACTGAGTACCTCAGCACCTACAGTACAAGCAAGCAAACACACCAGCCCAGGTGTCAGCCATCACTCCCAGTGAGCCACTCATCATGTCCCAACAACCAGGTACTGAAGCCTGGGGGCCGTCACATTTCTAACATGGGTGGATCTAGCCAGTAGTTGTTTGCTAGGTGTCAACTAAACTAATTTGTCTCAAGAAATAGCAAACATTTGTGGTGCTGGTGCCCTGTGCTTTACAGTGGAACTAACAGACTGCTTCAGAAGTCCAAAGTCTGTGTTACAATTCTGAGGGAAATCTTTAGCATGTTAATTAGCATTAATAACCAGGTACCTGTGTCTGTGTGATGCTTAAGTATCAGCATTCCACCTGCTCACCTGAATGTGGCCACACCAAGCTCCAAAAATTGTCCATGTCCATCTTTTATATCATACATATTATATTCTGGGGTTGTGTTTTTGCTAAAAACAAGCTAATTTTTACGAAACTAAATCCAAACTAATACATTTCACAATCACGTGACGAAACGCATCACAGGTATAAAGTTGCGTACTTATCTGCTCACACAAAAATGACCATGTAACTACAGATGAATTAATATAGAAACATTCATAATAGCAGTATGAAGAACAGTTGCAGGCATATTAGCAGCAAAACAGAGAAGAATGGCCGCTAAAAGGTCCTCTTTGTGTAGATTGTTGGAGTTCTGTTATTGATATAATCAACATGACTAAATACTGGGTGGTTTAAATCATGATCCACATTTTCAAATTATGAAACTGATCATATATTTTGTATGCGACTTTAGTATTCAACTTAACTAATAAACAGGCTTATCAGCTAAACAAAGACGAGAAGAAGCATAAAGCAGTATGCAGTGGAAATAATCAAGTACATCAAAACCATAATTAACTACAGCACTTCAGTTACTAAGTATATTATCACTTATATCACACGCACATCCTCTTGAATCAGTCACAGCTTTGAAATCTTTCATATTTTTCTTAAGCACAGCACGTCGAAAATGCATATGTATTACTACTATGTTATTACTGCATCATTCTTACTATTACTATTATTACTTCACACATTCCCAAATTCAGTACGGAAAAACCGTCTGTATCTCATTGGTAAAAATGAAAAATAAATATGATGGGTAAAAATAAACTGGCAGAAACCCTGTCAGTTACAGTTATGGATTATGATTAATTACACTGGAACCCCTGCTGAGACGTCACTCAGACAGACGGAAACGTAGTTCTTAACTCTGAGAGCTGGATGAGCCTCACTGCATACAAGAGAAGAAAATACATTTCAACTCAGCAGTCGGCCCGGGCTTGTAGCTCTTCCACCGGCCAAGTAAAGTAAGCTGCTGCAAATGGTTTCACTAGTGCAGAAAAGTTCAGATGGAAAATCCGCAAAGTATCCTTTTAATATAACAAATGCGTAGTCTTAGAATTGTGAGGTCCTGTCATTTTTCATCTATTACACGCTGACGTGACAGGCATCGGCCCGGGCCAATACGTCATCATAAAAGACATTGAATGAAAGGCTGATAGCACAGCAGCACACAAGGGGAACTTCTTCATCTGCTAATAAAGTGCACATTCACTGGTCATGGAATCTGGTGAGTGCGTGTGTGTGTATGGAAGGTGAGTTATAGTAATGGTCCTCGAATGGCAAGGGAGTCTTAAATGGTGCTCTTTCAGAAGATAAACTGGCATCTGCAGGAGTTTAACTCTCTCTCCCTCTCTCTCTCCTATACACGCATACATCTATACACACCTGCCTCTGTGTGTGCACGCTTGAGACTTGTGAGATATGATATTAGACAGTATATAATACTGCCATAAAGAGCTCTGAGGCAACGCACATGTTATAACACGGTCCTCTCAAGAAGCAGACCTGTCACATTTTCCCGGAATGCCAGTGTGCTAAATGTTAACCATAGTCCCCAGACAATGAGGCCCTCAAGGGCGTTTTCCACCTCCAAAACGGGGCATAAGGACACGGAGAAAAGTAAGTGTCAGAATGTGCTAAGCTGGGACCGCTCTGTTTCTCCCCGTGGGCTCATACTGGTCTTCTTTTGCTGTGTATAAACAAGCAACATCATCATCTACAGTTTGCGATTTATAGCCGGGGGACCGCAAAGTTTTTTCACACTTTGAGGAAGGAATTAGGACATCTTTTGCGTGTGAGAGAACGCGCGCGCACGCGAGGGAGGGAGAGAGAGCATTTGAAAACGTCGTAAGTGAAGGGAAGTCAGGGTGCAGCAGCAGCACGGTTTCTGCCATGGAGTGAAAGAAGGAAACCTCCTCTTCGGCGTCGCCTGCATGCAAATGCACCCGACCGGGGTAGAATAAGGCTGGTTCACCACGCTCAGGTGGAACCGCACCATTGACTTGGCGTGGAGCGGTGCTTATCCTCGAACTTAAAGCAGCAAGACACGGTCGCTCAGAATCTTCCAGATCGCATCCAAAGGCTCATACAGGTGACAACTGTGCCCAACTTCACCGCACCGGCCGTGCTGACGCGCACAGTGCGTTTGTCCAGAGGTTGCTCGCTGCGTGAGACCCCGCCGCTCCTCTTCTGACATTTCGCAGCGCTGCCGTGCACATGCAGACTGTGCGTGTGTGGCAGCGTGACGCATTTGCGCCTTTAGATTTGATTTATTTATTTTTAAGAGTCTGGAGTGTCGCGTTTTCGGACAAGTTTGGGTACCGATCGGAATGATCGTCATGTCCGCATGGGATAACTTGCGCGTCTCTCTGTAGAGTGACACAGAGCTCGGCTAGGTGCTGAAGTTGGTTGGGAATAATAATAACAGTACGTAGAGCAGAGGACGAAAGAGGACGAAACGGCTGAATTTATTGCCAGCATCGTCATCTCCGTGTAAGGATCGAAACTGCGCGGGGGGGACTGCTGCTCTTTCCTCCTCTTCATCTGCACACTTCCAGCTTTTTCTTTTCTTCCCCCCCTCTTTTCTCTTGCAGAAGCATCAAAGTGAATTCCAGCTCCTGAAAGCACAGCTGCGTAAACTTGGCCAGATCTGGTGACATTGTAGCCTGTGTGTGTCTGTGTGGGTTTGTGTGTGTGTGATAAGCAGCCTGGATGGATATGCGGCTCACCGAGGGAATTTGAAAAGCAAAGGGGGATTACTATCGGTCCCTCTTGTGTTATAACCTCAAAATGGATGCCCACGTCAGGCTTTGGAGATGCAACTGGATTAGCCACTCTTCCGCTGATCTGCTTGACATCTGAGTGGCACAAGTGTTCAAAGTTTGGATAATCTCAAAGGCTGACGGTGTAGAATGCAGTCTGGAGTGAAGACGCTCTCCGCAGGTGGAGGTGCGTCACTCTGCTGCCTACTGCTCCTCTGGCTCATCTACTCCCATCTGCTCAGAGAGGGTAAGGGCACTTACAGCTATTTATTACTTTGCCAACAGCAGCAAGGTCTCTGAGGGCTTTTTATTGGGATGCAGCTGCACATGGTGTGGTCAGATCCTGTCATTCTGGGGGAAAATTCCTATTACGCCCAATTAAACAGCCTCTGTGCTCATCAGAAGTCAAATTACGGTGACCTTGTTGAACATCTTTGCAGCCTGATTTGGCATCTCAGTAATAATATTCCCAGTCAGTGTATAGTGATGTTATTTTGCACAGTTTCATCATGTCTGATAGCACTATTATGTACCTAGGAGCTTTAGACCACCATTTCCAAAACACTTTTTAAGAATCTGAAATGCATTAAGAATAGTTATAACCTTCAACCCAAACAACCCTGATTTTTTTCTGTTTTGATGCTGGACCAAAAATCAGGCTCTTTGCTGTCATGTGGGATAGTAATTTGGCGAATCTATAACTGAGCCTTAGGTGAAAAAACATCAGAAAGCCTTCAGCTATTGTTTTTCCACTTAGGTTAAGGCCTTTATATCCTTCCAAGCCATGTTTTCATCTTGAATAATGCATCCACTGGTGCAATTACACCTTCACCCTGACACAGAATAGAAAGCAAAAGGATGTTTCCCTGCACTTCATTGGCTGCTGTCCACAACACAACATTTCCGCCGCTGTCAGAGACAGAGAACAGGCTTAAAGTACTGGAACTTGTTGGGAGATGCTGAACACTAAGTTTGCAGATTAGATCTTTTAATCAAGCATTGGCCGGCAGCATAATTACCACTGTGGAGGAGGGATAGTGCCTACATCAATGTCTTTGGCAGCTTGCCGGGAACAAAAGTAGACACTGATGTGAAAAATGAACTGCCTGCGCGTTGAAATGTGCTCCCTTTGCCTCTAATTTGCAGTGTTTTCTCCCAAAAACGCTGCTGTCACCAGCCTCGAATTCCCACCCCTCTCAAGCCTGTGCATATTATCCAAGGAGCCACAGCTACCCTCCTGTTCCCAGCAGCCATTTATTATTGACTCGTTTTCATCTGAAAGTGATCTCATTAGCACATGATTGTACAAATTACTCGATCAATCTCTTGTGAACTTTGTTGCCCTTCATATATTCCCAGGGTAAGTGAGATCTCCCGTGCATGGCCTGGTAGTTAAAACCTCTGGATATGATTTTTGGGGTAGACAGTCTCCCTGTTTGTTGCTGACTGGTTTTTGAATAAAATGTGTCATATATATATATATAAAATGCAGATGTGTAATCATCAAAACCAAGTCATTTGAAACTGGCTGCACTGACCAGTTACTGCACTCATAAAAGCAGCTCTGATTTTTTTAGCATTACAGTCTAAAAATATAACAAGATTCATTTGCAGTATTTCTTTTAGCATTTATAGCTAAGCATCACTGTTAGAGTCAAAGCACTGTTCACTTTCCATGAAAAGCTCGGCCAGTATGGCCCCTGAGGGCCTGAGAGCCACACTGTGTGCCGGTGAACTGGCGAGCAGGACTAACTTGAGGTTAGAGGCTGTGCTGCCTCCACCGTCTTCATAGCCCATCTGTCATGGCGACCAGGACAGGAAATCAAAGCCTAGCAGCTCTGTCCATGCACGCCATTGGGCCACCGTCGGTCACAATAAATGGCCTGTCGGCTGCTCTCAATGTTGCCAGTTTATTCAACAATAAATTTGGAATTGTCTGGGATTTCCGTACTTGGGCCACATTCCGGTTCAGTGGTGCAGCCAGGGAGCAGCGGTGACACATCTCTGCTTTGTCACCCACAAACCTCGGAGTTAGTATGAAAAGGGAGGGTGGAGTGCTGCATTTTTACCCACATTTATTCGCTGGAGGTGAAGGGATAGTTGGCCTTTGCTCTAACTCATCTGACAGAATTCTGTTGCCATGGCAGTAAATCATTAATTTGAAATAATTTGCTCAGATGAGACTTCTTAAATCTTTATTCATCTTTGATGCAACAGCAAAATCATTTCTGTGTTTCTCAGCTGCTCTTTCCATAGATTACTTATCAGCATGTGTAGTGTGGTATCTTTTCTTTGGATTTCCCATTAAGGATGTTTAAGCTGTCATAATTTCTCATTTTACCACAGATGATTATGTGAAACGGTTGTAGTAGCTAACCGATTTAGCAGCTCTCGCCTTCATTTTCATTCATCTTTTTGGTCTCTTTATATGCACTGTTTGGGTTTTCAAGCATTCGAATCTTTCTGAGACTAGTCTGATTGCAAATAGCGGTGGGTGACTGCCTTCATCTATAAAGCTCTGATGACAGCACTCAACACTGCTCAGCAGACAAACTTAGCAGCAAGTTGGTGAAGAAAGCTGAACTTCTGTTTTTCTCAGTAGAAGATGGAACTCTGAAAAGGGTTGAAAGCAGAGCCATAGATTAAGACAGTCCAGTCACCGGGGGTTCTGAATTCGGGGTAAACAGTTCCTGCAAGTGCTTAGCGGGCAGTTGGAATGTATGCTTAAAACATACAGCCTTGTTTTTGTTTAACTACCTTTTAAAAAGACATCTCAGACTTCTGTGCTGCTATATCTCTATGGTGCAGCTAGCATAAGTTGCTAACCCCCGTTGCTAAACTTCTGTGAGTCTCCGTGATCCGCCATTGCTGTAAAAAAAAGAAATGGTGAAGTAAGATGACGTGACTCTTCCATTCAACAGCTCTGGTTGAGAAGAGACTCCAAATTCATTTTATCTGCTGGTTAGAGGATCTAAACCTGTTGAACATTGAATGTGACTCTGAAAAACAAACAGAAACATATGATGTAAAGCAAAATATATTTAATACAAGAGAAGGTGGACAACCCAAATAAATGAAACCACAGGGTGATTTCCTGATCTTGGTGTTCTGTTTTGTACAGAAAGTGCTTCTCTATACAGCGCATGTGACGTGTCATGATTAACGTGTCATTTTGGTTTGTTTGAATAATCCAGTGAGTGCAACAATCTATCCTGTCACCCTGCTCTGCTGTCGACGCGGCTGACAGCACATTTATGAGCCACGTCTGTGGCCCGTGTCACTACATTTTGATGTGACTCACCGAGACTGTACAGAGAACAGGCTCATGCGGTTCAAGTATCAAAACCAGACCGATTTTACTCCTGATGAATTATTCTGTATCCTATCATGGTCATTTCCCCCCGATGTATATGAGAAAGCAAATCTTCATGGTGCACCAGAGAGATAAAATTCAAAATCTTTGGTTGGTATTCTCTTTTAACTCAGAGAGCAGGGCCTATCCATCCAAGCATTAAACTAATCAGAGTACCAGAGAATTACTGACTTTTTGAAGTGAAAAGAATGATTTCCATTCCAGTCTTCTTCAAGGCGGCATTAGGCATGCAAAGGGAGACCTACTTTGATTATGACCTTGGCTGTAAATTGTAAGCAAATCATTGAGACCTGCTTATATAGGCGGTGGGGCTTTAAAAGTATGAGCATCTTTATGGAACAAAATGAAAAGAATTTTTACAGCTAAATCAATTTGGCAGCACACAAAGCTCATATTTCATAACTCCCCGAATATAAATTCTTTCTAGCCGTCAGCTTTGACCTCCCTTGTGGTTGACTGTAGCGCACTACTCAGTGTATTTCTGCATTGTTATTTTCTCTGCGGAAATCTCTGGGCTTGAAACTGCTCCATCATTGGCAGAGTGGTGTAAATGATTTGAGTTATGTTCCTTCGGACTTCTGTCCCTTTCTATTTTCTGCCTGATGCCGTGATCATATTTTCTGAGAGGGAATGTGCTTGAGTGTTAAAGCTCACACAATCCCGCATTACTGTACAGTACTTATGGGGTCGTAATAGTCCTCTGATGTTCACCATTTTCTCTGTGTTTGCAGTAAAGAAGGAGGGCATCATGGAACGCTATCTGGGGGGGAATTTGAAATGAGTCACCGTGGCTTTATACAGTCATCTCTGCGCTACATTCAGCAGAGCTACTGTTTGCATTTGCAAGGCATATTGTACATTCGCTCTCCATGCCTCTAGCCTGTTTTCATCCACAGCAAATTGTTTGAGCGCACTCTGTATTGTAATATTCTGCAGCTGTGCTGTGCGACAGCAAAAGAAATGCATTCAAAGCCATCTCAGTCATGTGAACCGTACCACAGGACAGACCTGAAATACACTGTGAGTCCTAGCAGGGGATGGATGTAAGGGGAATGTTTTCTATTTTAAAGCTGCCCTTGGCAATGTCACACAAAGGTTGCAGACAAACTGTACAAAAAAATGAACTTGGGGATCTTGAAGTTCTCTAATATGATGTTAGCAGACTACACAGCATGCTTTTGCTTTCTAGTGAGAAAGGAGACAATCTAAAGCTACTGTGCCCCGCTTTCCCCAAGGGAGTGCCATCCTACGGCGGCTACGGGAAGTTTCAATTTGTCATTCCCTGTGGGTGGAGTAGTGTTCACACCTGACACGGGAATTAAATTTGAGCAAATAGAGCCCATTTCTGGTGTCTCAGTTGGCAGGGCGGCAGTGCCTTTCAGTGGTTGCTTGTGATTGTCTGAAAATCACACTTGATGCAGCTTAAAAAATTCTGTCATTCGAATGCAGAGCTCAGCATTCGAATATGAGGAGCTTCTCAAGAGAGAACAACAAGGAGCAGACTGACTGAGGGCTAGCACACTGCAGAGAAATGTTCTTTATCTAATAACATAATTCATCCCACCCCAAATGCTCCAACATCTCCCTACCATCACACCCGATTCCTTTCGCACTGTTTTATTTGAAATTGCATAGTTACCATTACAGGTCCTCTAACATCAGCAGGGAGTTGTTCACTTGTATAATTATCAATCGGACTAACATAGAGTATTCAAATAGCATGTGAAATTAAGTGGTGGCACATGTTATGCTCCACTGCTCTGCTGCCCTACTTGTTTAGCAGCAGAAGATCACGGCGATGTCAGGAAGCATATAGCACGGGGTCAGTCAAACATCTGCCTCTCTCACCTGGTGTCCTATTACATGCTACCTAC